ATATATATATATATATATATATATCTATCAATCAATCAATCAATCAATCATGGCTTTTTTATTTTTAATCATCTTTATTATATTTGAACCCATCTTTAATCTCGAAACAAAGTAAAAAGAAATTAAAAGTACAAACTTAACATAGAAGCTAGGAAGAAAAAAAGGAAAAGAATAAAATGTACTTATCAGGAGACACCGGTGAATTCACTTCTGGGCAGTTGGTGAGTTTGCACAACACGTGAAGCCACCAGCCATGGTTTGATGAACTGCAAAGGCTGGTTTGCCTGCTGTGCAAACCAGGTTTGTTGAGGGAGGTTCTGCACGGCAGCTGTAACTCTCAGCCAATGTAGGATGAGTGGTAAGAGAACATTTACAAACGCACAGACCTGAAGGGTGTATGTGTACTTGAGTGTGAAAATGTTCTTTCTTCTGTTTTACCTCCTCTTTGAAGTGGGAAAGTTAATCGGCTCAGATGGAACTTTTTTAATTAAAAATAATCCCGCTGTTTTGTCAACTACTTTATAAATCACCGCCGAGCAGTCTTTGTGAAGCTTTTGGTTTCACTACTGCCTTGCAAATAGATCTATAAAAGTTACAAGCTGAAGGGAGGGTGGGGGGAAGGATCATTAACTGGCTGGTCTAGACATCCCCACTGTGATGTAATGGTTAAGGTGTCCAAGTAAAAGGGGGGAGATCTTGGTTCAAGTCCATCCTCAACCACAGACGCTCATAGGGTGGATTTGGGGCCAATCATTCCCTCAACTCAACCAACGTCACAGCGTCATGGCTGTGGGGAGGAAGTGATCCAGGGGAATGTCATGTATGTTGCCTTGAGATCCTGGAGGAGAGGCCAAAAGAGAAATCTAATAAATAAAAATATTTATTTCTGATGCACTGGTCCAAAAACGAAGACTTCTCAAGGGAAGTCTTAGGGAGCCAGTATGTCTGGTAAGCCACAGAGATGTCAAACTGATAGGCGTGCCCCCATGTCATTGTGCAAATGGCGCACTTCTGCAATGGAATCATGACATTTGAAGTTCAGGTTGCCACATCCTTCCCTTGAGGGATGCCTGACCCTGGGGGCGTCTCTACATTTCTGGGGTTAGCCCCCAAAGGAAGAAAAGAAGGAAAGAGTGTTTTTCTTCTCTGTTGCAAAACTTTCTCTTGCCTGGAAGGAAATCCTTCTCTCTACTCCCTTCTCCATGGCCAGTCTCGGAGGTTGATTGGTCAGGACCTGCATGGTGGGTGGGGCTAAAGCAAGTTCTGGGTGGGGCTAGAGCAAAAAAAAAAAAACGGTAGGGAGAAATTGGAGGTGTGATTGTTAGGAGTTCCTGGAAGCTTACAAAGGCATGGAATGAACAAAGACAGAAGGAGGATTTTCAAATTTGGATTTTCCTTGGCTCCAAACATCAAAATGTCACAAGTCAGCCCCCCAAATGATACAGCCACAGCGAAGCAGAGCTGAGGGCAAGATACCGCCTTGCATAACAAGGCAGGGAGCTAATGATGTTTTTTAGATCAAAGGTAAAACTCAGGAGGAAAAAAAAACCCCTAAAGGTCGGTTTTAGATCTCATTATTGGCTTGGAGATGCTGAATAATGGATGGAAAGGAGCATTAAGGGCATATATTTCTCTTTCTCTCTCTCTTTTCCCCTTTTTATTTTAAAAAAGGAGAAAGTCTCCATAAAAAATTCCTAACTAGTTCCATGTCTTTGTTTCTAAATTTTAAGGAGGAGGCATTTAAAGGCATTGACATATATTGAATATAATTAATGGGTGAAGGAGGAAATGAGCAGAAGCAGAGATTAATTTTTTAGCCCCCCAAAAAACATTTTTTAATGTTGTCTTTGAGCTCTGGAGGAGTGATGGTCATTGCAACGTGTTTAAGTTTTATGGCATAGCATGTTGGGTAAACTCAGCCATCATGGGTTGCAGACCATGGTTTCAACCTGTTGAGTGAACCCAACTAAAATGTGGATTGGTCAGCCAAACCATGGTGAATCAAACTATGGCTTAGCACAAGGAGGGAATAAGACTGTTGAGTCTTATTCAACCTTGGTACAAGAATTATAGGCGGTGGCCAACCCTTGTACTTCTTGAATGGATTGGACAGGGTTAGAACTTCATAAGCCATTGTTCATTAGAAGGGGCAAACCAGTTTGAACCAACCAACAGCAGGGGAACCTCCATCAAGACCCATCAAGGGAAATACTAATATATATATGACTACAATGTGGGTGGGCCACATTGAAAAGTGGAGAAGACCCTGCCTCAAATATCTAAAATACAAGTATATGATGCCCCCCACATTCTTTTTAATGATGCTTAATGCATTTCATTCTTGAATAACATTCATGAACTCTCTTCATGGCCTAAAAGACAGAAAAGGCCCTTGCATTAAAAAAAAGAATCACTTAATTTCCCCAAAACATTCACTTTCCATGCCCATCCAACAGCTAGTAGGAGTCTTTAATTTGTTATTCACCAGTCCTAGGACAGATGATTTGCTGATGGGGTTTCTATTTTATGCAAGAATCACCAGGATGTCTAAAGCAAGGGTGCTACAGTTAAAAACAAAATGAAAACCAAGATTTTCCTGCAAATCTTCCCCCAAATGAAAGGACAGAAAATCTAGGATACACTTCAGCAGGATATGGTCCATTCTCCCACCCATGATCCTGGATGTGTTCAAAAATATTAAGTGTGGTCATCCAATATCATTTTCTTTTCTTTTTGTAATTTATATGCTAGACACTTCCCTGGTTTATTTGCAAACTCAAAGTTCTTTTGCTTTACATAATTCATTTTTATTTCCATTTCTCTCACTGTTAACATAGATCATTGTCATTGTAAAAGCTTAATTTGTTGAGAAATACTTCTC